CCCCAAAACCCCAAAACCCCAAAACCCCTAAATCTCTTGCTCTCCTTGAACCTCTATTTTTATTCTTAACAAGAGAGCTTGTGCTCTTCCTTGTTTCTTGCTACTATCTATGCTATATATAATTCAAAAGTTAAGCCATACAAACTTGAAGGTCAAAACTTTGGATTTCGAAAGATCAAATACATTTTAGCAAGAGAGAACCCTCAATTATTTAAAAGGATTTATATCATTCGCTATTACAAACCTCAACTCTATCATTGTTTTTAAGTGATCTATTAAAATGTAAACATTAATGTAAAATTTCTTTTTCACCACATTTAGTTTATCCCATCTCTTCCCCGTGCATCTTCCCGCTTTGTGAAGAGGAATCACTTGGACTAACTTTTCTCGTATTTATCAGCCAGATTATTAATCATAAAAGCACAAGGAATAGGAATATTAGTAAAGCGTACAGGGCATACTGCATGAAGAAAGGTTCTGTGCGTGATATTTCATTTCCATAAATCCCAACTCTTGACTTCTCCATGTCGAATACAGTGTAATACTTTCGGAGGAAATTAGCCCCAAGGACAACAGTGTCTTGCTCAATAATGACTCTACTTCCAAGATTGTAGACAAGGATTACTCAGATATTTTCCTCTTCTGCTATATAGTCCTCAGGACTGAGATCGAAGCTATAGCCGTGAATACTGAGAGTAAAATTGGGAAAATCGTCAAATCCATTATCACAAATTCATGCTACAAATTTCTCACCTATAAAGAATCCTCAATCAAGACCTGTATCGAGGACGCTTTGCATAAGCTCAAGAAAATTATCTTCTGAGAGAGCAAGAGTTGAACTCCCTGTATCGATAACTGCATATTTGGCTTGGTGAAGAGTTTTCTCCTGTCCAAAATAAACACCTGTAAGAGGAAGGGTCCAGTAGTCTTCTTCTCCCTCCATAGGAGCCCAGACAAATTCGCTTAGATTTTGAGCAATCTCTCTGTCTATATCGCCAAAAATCATTTTTGATTTCATTCCGACTGGTTTGAAGTCAAAAGAGAACATCTCATAATCAATAATTCCTTGCTGTTTTAAAGCTGTGACAAAATTCCCTCGACCATCATTTGGATCTATGGGACCAAGCCCTAGGATTCCATCAGCAGCATCTCCTTCGATCCCATTAGCTACAACGATTCCGAGCATTACGAGGTTTTTGACAACTTGGGGTCCTTTAGGGTATATGTATACGTCTTCTTTGATCCTGACACCTCCAACTTCTCCTGTTCCATAAACCAAAACTTCTACTTGAGTCTTATCAATAGCTTTGTCACGCTCTTTTGGGTCTTGAGGAAGGTTAATAACACTATCAATATCGTATAAATTTTCATTAGGACAGGCCTTTCATGCTGTTGTAGGGAACCATATCCATGCAGACCCAGTGTCATATATAAAAGTCATCCTCTGTCTTTTAGGGCCAATAAAAAGAGTTCCGTAATACTGCAAGTCCTTGAAATTAGTGATGTCCTTAGTTATTGATTTCAAATATCTTTTGTTACCCAGTTTATTTATCTTCTTGAAATATGATATCTGAAGTAGATAATCCTTCAAAGGATATAGGCCTATCCCTGACTGGCTCAAGGTCTATCTCAAATCTTTTCCCAGCGTTTACCATAAAGAGAAGTGCCAATAGCAGGATTATGGTTTGGTACATGACTTAAAATTATTTCAAAAATAATTTATTTTTGTGGGGTTTTGGGGTTTTGGGGTTTTGGGGTTTTGGGG